TATAATTTGACACTTTATTGAAAAATAAAAGTCAGCGTATTTAGAATTTCAGTAAATTAAGACTGACCCTTGGAGGACACAGTTTTACTTATTTTAGTTCTGACACTGCACAACCTCAGTGACGAGATGAGAATAATGATGCACTAATTGTCTTCCCTAAACGCAGCAGCGTTAAGAGCAATTGTATAGACAGGACACAAAAGAATCAAAATAAATAATGCACTTTAAAATAAATTAGTGAACAAATAATTAAATAGCTTTAAGCCAAAGACTGAATGAAATGTACAGTATTTATTTATTAACCTTTATTGAATCAGGCAAATCCCATTGAGATCACAGATCTCTTTTGCAAGGGAGGCCTGGCCCTGAAGGCAGCATAACATGCATGTTTTTGGTATGTGGGAGGAAATCGAGTAACCCACGCAAGCACGAGAAGAGCATGCAAACTCCACACAGAAAGATCTCACATCCAACTGGGGATTGAACCCAGAACATTTTTTGCTGTGAGGTAACGGTGCTAACCACTGGGCCGTCATGCTGCCAGTATAAATGTGTTCAGTGTAAATAAGTAATTGAAATTTTTGAATGGGTTTTGATGTGGAGTGGTGGTGCAGAGGGCAGTGGTAGCTTGGTGGTTTGTGGTTGCATCAGGAAGGACATCCTGTGAAAAAACAATTGCAGTCTTTGTGAGTTAGTTCACTGTGGTGACCCCTGAAGAAAGGAGCAACCAAAAAAAAAAAAAAAAAAAAAAAGGAATGGGTTTTGATGAGAATACATTTACAAAATCACTGATCGTTTCAACAAAATTATTGTTTTGAAGATAGATGTGTACAAAGTTCACAGTCTTCACGTTAACATTGTAGATAACTCTTAAATGTTCTTCAGTCCTAAAGCAGACAGAAACCTCAACACCTTTACTGGCATCATTATCCTTGAAAACGAAATATTCCTGATTATTACACCGTCAGCATATTTGACCCAGTCTTGTCGATGTCAGCAGCCAACATTTATCTTGTTTGTCGTCTAAAAATAAAAAAAGTGCTGCTGCTCCTCCAACTCCCAGAGCCAGCAGAGGATTTGGGTCAGCAGAGACACTTGGATTCAAAGCTTGGCTCTGTCGGCTTTCCTTGTATCATTCTTCACCAGCGCTGATTTAAATCTGGTATCGTATCCAGCCTGTGATCAGGCCCGCATGTAACCTCTCTGTCTCACTCACACAAATGACTGCAGCGTGTCTAACAACCAGACTCTTCACGATTGTGAGCAGCTGGTGAATAGTTGGGACTTTTGACAGAAACAATATTATATCAAATATATGCTGAAAAGGAAAGTTGCGGTTAAATTATGTTTGTGTTTTGTGTTGCAGATGGCCACTTGTCCTGAGTCTGGTTCTGCTGGAAGTTTCTTCCGCATGAGGGAGTTTTACTTTTCCACTGTTGCCTTCATGCTTGCTGATGCAGATGAGAGTCTGCAGTGAAGTTAAACTCAAGGCAGTCTGTTGACTTCTTAGATAAATAACGTTATTCACTGACTCTATATCTATGTTAATGTTTCTGCACAGAGCCCTGAGACGACTTTGTTGTGATTTGGCGCTAAGGTTTTCCAGCTTTTACAGTCTGCTTTTGACATCATCCCGTCAGATTTGTTCCGTCTCACACTTGTGCTAAATGCTGATGAAACCAAAGGGATGTTGTTTTCAAACAGGAAGTCGGTCCCAGCAGTTCTTCCTTCTAGTTGATTTCGACGACTCTTACAATTTGGTATCTTGGTCGATTCACATCTCTCTTTGAAGCTCTACGTGGAAAACCTAACAAGGAAGCTGAAAGTTAAACTGGGTTTCTTTTTCAGAAACAGATCCTGTCTAACCCTGAATGCTAGGAAACGTCTTGTCACTGCAACTTTCCTTCCCTCCATTGATTACGGTGACATTATTTACTTGAACGCTCCTACAAGAACCCTGCAGATGTTGGGTGCTGTCTATCATGGTGCACTAAGATTCATAACTGGCTCTACTGTACCCACCACTGCACCCTGTTTAACTGGTCACCATTAACTTCATGCAGACTCTCTCACTGGTACATTTTCATCTTTAAATCATTTCTTGGTCTGCTGCCTTCATACATCTCCTCCTACATGTCTCTGAGTGAGTGCAGCTACAGCTCTCAGGACATTATTACCTGCAGTGTTCCCTCAGTGAGGACTGAACTAGGCAAAAGGGCCTTCTCCTACTCCGCTCCTGTTTCCTGGAATATCTTACAAAAAGACCTGAAGCTCTCGACCTTGACCTCTCCAAGTGATTTTAAACAACTTCTATGTTCACGGCAAAAACCAACGCAGACATGTTCCTGTTTTTAGTATTTTGTATCGCTTTATAATGTAGCTGTTTTTGTTTTGTTCTTACATCTTTTATTCTATTTACTTTTCACTTTATATGCTTTTTATTATTGTCTATTGTTGTCTGTACCTCATCTGTGTTCTTTGTTAAAATCTCTCTTGTAAATGAGTCCTCGAGGCTCAATGAGCCTAACCTGTATGAATAAAGGTTGAATGAATACATACCGGTAAATAAACTGTATTGAATTGATTTAAAAGAGGCATAAAAGATAAAAAGCAAAAACTCTAATTTAAAACAGGCAAGCTGCAGTCCTTTTTTTTTTTTTACTGCTGGCAGCTTGAAATAAACAGTAATTTGACCTAATATGTTTCTGGATA